TTGAATCATTAGATAATAAAACAGTTAGATGATAACACAATTTAAAACTAATAAAACGTAGATGTTTTATCCATAATGTTAGTGAAACAATTCTAGAATACAGTGGACTAGGAAAAACTTTGATATTTGACATTATTGGCTTGTCAAGGAACAATAACACATGATCAGCATTATGTTTAGGAAAGGGAAATGAATTATTCATATTGTGTGTGTGTGTTTGTGTGTGTGTGTGTGTGTGTGTGTGTGTTTGTGAGTGAGAGAGACGGAGGGGGGAGGGAGAGAGATAATGCACAGAATGAAAGTTTTGAGGTTTTGTCCAACGAATCAACATCATGGTAAGCGGGAAGTAACCTCTAAGTGCTCTGTTCTTCTTCTAACTCAAATCTGAGACAGAAGTAGCTCAGCACAGTGCTCTGTAGCACCTGCGAGGACCCTGAAATACTTTTGGGTAGATTTGTAACTTCAAATTTTTCCCGAGCAGCGCCGTTAGGCTACTTTTTTTTTTTTTTTTTATTGTCAACTGTTGTCACTTTCGTCCTTCTTAGGACGAAATTTTTTTAATTTGAAGCCCTACTGTGGCTTTTGCCAGGGGCCGCAAAATAGGCAGGCCATGTATATGGCCAAATGTCTGAACGCGGTTTCTGGGACCTCTCCACGGCGATCCTCATCCACATGGTGGCACTTTGTGTCATCGGGTGTTTATCGCTTGTGTGATGTCCTGGTGGGGTAAAACTTCAGTTCAGTTCAATTGTCAACTGCCACGGGATTTTTTACGTTTTTAACAATGCACAGGGGCGTTTGATCTCACTACCCAGAGACCAGGGGAGATTACTAGTTGTCCAAGTCCAGGTAAAAAAATCACAGCCCTTGGATTGAACCCGGAACCTCTAACACTTGAGGCGGACACCATGGTTCAAGACCACGAACATATTAAAATGGTTAGATAAAAACGGGAAAAAAAAATAAATAAATGGTTCATTTTAAATATTAATGAGCATTCTTAGAACCCGTTGGCCGGGACTAAGATAAACATAAATATTTGGATTATCTGTGCATTCGAGAACAATGTATGGCGTTCCACAGGGTGTTCAGGAAGGCGAAAAAAATTAGACATTTTTAACGCGTCTGAGGTTTAAAGCGAAGTGTATATATGTTGTTTTCCGTGGAAGAACGACTTTTGGCAGAAGACACGAGATTAGATGAAATAACAATGGCAAGAATGTGTAAACGAGGTATTAAGTGTGGATGCGGCAAGGAGGAACGGAAACGAGGAAGAGATCGGCGTGTGTATGTTCAATGTGCTACGGGAACAGTTAGCATCTACACCTTACGTCATTTGCTGCCGGATACGGAGCATCTATGGGTTTGCCCGGTGTGCTATTGTGTCGATTCTTAAATCAGTAAATCAGTAATCATGGAAGAAAATTCAAAGGCTATCCAGAATGACTATTAACAATCCATGAAAGACTCCATTAGCAATTACAGAAGCCACTCCACTTTACGAATGATCTTGAATCTTATTTGGAATCTATATGAGCACATGGAGAGAATAACAATATAATTTTGTTTTGTCCATTTTCGGTTTAACAAAGGTGATTCCGGTAATCTTCCAGCTATATTTTAAATTTTGTATTTTTGTTTCCGCGATAGTGATATATATATTTTTTTTTTTTCATTTTAATCTGAACTCTGACATAATATTTTTGATAAATCTAAATTAAGTGTGATGAGTTTGTTTGTTTCTCGCCTATATTCACATCTTCTCCCCCACCCCACCACTCTTCAGCTTCTATGACTCCGATAATTATTTGCTTATGTGTTTCTCATTTTAATGACCAGAGTCAACACTAAGAGTTCCCAGTGTGGGTCCAGGGACCCCATTATGGGTAAAACAAGACTGTGGCTCTAACAAGAATGTCGTAAGGGTGAGCTAACTTGAGGACATACTTCAGAATCAGCATGTATCTGCCTGATCGGCATAAAACAACCACATGCAAACAAATAAGCCAGTAAATTGGACGTACATGCAAAACTCAGGACTTTGCACAAAACTACAGTCTAAATAGACGAACAACCTGGATATTTCGCCGGAACTTACAGCCGATAAACAAAGAAGATCACTCACAGTAAAATCAAAACGGACCAGTGGTGAGAGATGATCAGTTAGCATGTCAGACGTTAGCCCGTAACGATTACGTTGGAGAGGGTTCCCATAATATTGTTCTCCTCCTCGCTCTTCCTCTGAGGGTATTTGTGCGCACGCAGCAAGCATAGTCATACTAGTAACCGGTAGCTTTACCATGTTACAGTTTCTGCATGAGTAGCTTAAGTATGCAGCGACCGTTCTTTTCGCTATGTTCGATGCCTAAACCGCGTGGCCTATTTGTAATAATAGTAAGCGATAACTATAAATAGTGGGGAAAAAATGAGTTTTTTTTTTGTAAGCCGCGATTTCAGACACTATGGGCATGGATGACTAGAGAAGAGATTTTCACCTGTACTGCTACACAAAGGTATAAGACAAGTCACCACCACCATTAAAGCCACTACATGCACGCCTGGCTACTGAAACGGACATACTCATGACTCTATCAGTATAGGAACATATCGCATGCTTTATAATATGGGAACTGAGTGCGTATGGGCATGGGTTTGTATGACAAGACAAAGGAATTTTAACTCATCTGCTACACATATGTATAAGTCATGGTCATCATACAAGACATATGCGTCTAAATACAGACATAATGATTAATACAGTCATCATCATTATGTTGTGATTATGTCATATAAGGTCCACTGGTGGCATAGCTGCTAGACGCTCATCTGCGGATCTTCTTCTTCTTCGTTCACCGGCTGTGAATTCCTGCGAAAGGTCCCGGTTAATCGTCCGCTTGGACTTCTGGCTATTACCTGGACCTGAGTTTAGCGTGTACAACCGTTTTTGCTGTTCCCTGCCTCGCGGGCAGATGTACTCCAACTTCGATGGGGGACGTCAGGCCTATTTCTAGGATGACTGTGGCCATTGTTTTGTGTGGGTCAAGACGTTGCCTGATTTGTGTGGTGTCCTCTTTGTCGCCTTCTCCGCAGGTGTTGCCCCCCGGAGTACCCCTTTGGGGCAGCCCCTTGTGGAACGGTTAGCCCTTAAGGAAAGGCAGGGGCAGATCATGGGCATTCCCCGCCATCCAAGGAGGCTTCCATATATGCAGAGCTGGCACATGGCGCTCTGGTTCTGGGCTCACCCAAGGAATCGTCTCGTCCTGCACATGCCTGCTTAACCTCACAACCGTATTAGGCCTCCCGCTCGACAAGGGCTGCGCCCTCCGGAAATCAGCGGGGAGCAGCCCGCGGGTTCTGGACTTTTGTGACTACACTAATAGGTACATTCTTTTTCTTCGCACGTTAGATATCTTTAACGAGCCGTTAGAACGACAGAATTTAACATCCTGCGTCAGGCATATCGTTATCAGTTTGGTCCCAACACTCGGACGGGTGGGGGTCTTTGGGTGTGGACATTTGAACATTTTCCCATTCAATACGATTTGTGATGGTCGGATTTTGAGCTTACTCGTGTACCGTAGGATTTAGTTTTGTCGGACATTTAGGCTTAGCCAGCCAATGGGCTGTTGCTGTCGTGGTGTACCTCAGCGCGGTGACGACGACACTGAGGGTTAACAGGGGATGTACATAGGTAGAGTCTTGCTACGAGACACCACCCATAGGAGATGTTACTCGTCTGTGCTTCGGATAAATCTCTAGGTCAAGGGTTGAGTCTCAGCAGAACAATGTTCTCTTCACTCCGCAATCTTTTAACCAAGTGTTGTAATTTTGGTTGTACGTTTGACAAGCACTTTACTCATGCTCCTAATTAGTTTTGATAAGCTTTTTCACCCATGCGTTTGGGGGCGGGCTGATGAGAGCCACAAGGACACTACACCTCTGGGAGCCGCCAAACTCCGAGATCCCCCAAACATCTTTGTTAATGCTCATTTGAGACTTTATCCGTGGCGCACGACGAGGACGTGCTGCAGGGATCTTGCGTGAGGTTCCGTAAAACCAGAACAGTGAAGGACTGGCGCCCGAGTAACGTACTGAGTATCTCCTTATACACATCACGTTGGACTTAACGACATAAATCACCGCGCCTCATCTGCGAATCTGAAAGGATGGTTTCAGAACATGACAAGCGGGACCATTTTTCAGAAATAATTCCGCTGCCAGTAGACCCAGCCTCAAATGGATACTAGGTAAACTCCTGAAAGTTAAGGCGGTTGTCGTAATGATGGCCACATTACCCAGTGAGTGCGATTTGTCTATAAAATATAGGTCTATACCTTTATACCCAGTAGGCCTGAAGGCGTGAAAACGGATCCTTTATCCGCTGTTATCCTTTCGATAACATAGATTGAATCCAGTCCAACACATTTTCCCTCTACGAGCTATGTTCATCTACGGGTAATTAGCGGCACACTGTAAATAACGAATAATAGATAGGAGAAAATGTAGGTTGACATCTTAAACAGTATAACAATTAGGAAAAATAAAGGTTCTTTTTGCACGCCTTTAGGCGAATAGGGCATATAGGGCTATAACTATATTTTTATAGACCAGTCGGTACAAGATGGGTGACGTGGTCAGCATTATGCCAGCCGCCTTTACTTCCCGCGTCTGCACATGGTACCCACCCAAGGCTAGTTAGATCTCGGAGTCAATGTCATTTTTGAAAAAAGTCTGGCTCCGCCAGGTAGCGAACTCATAACCTTCCGATCCACAGGCAGCGTCTATCCACTACGCTACGACGACTCCCCAGGATAATAATATTATCACTTTATTACGGGAATAGTAGGAAACAGACGTGCTAAGACGTTCCCCGAACTACCTAATTCTGAAATCATAATTAGATTGGGTTAAGCTGTTACGAATTTATTGCCCAAGTTGGTAAATACAGAATTTGTCGTTTTGATTAAATCCATAAAAAGTCTAACACGTGCAAAGACCAGCTAAGAACTTTAGTGATACCAATAAGAACGTTAGTGATACCAATAAGAACTTTAGTGATACCAATAAGAACGTTAGTGATACCAATAAAAACGTTAGTGATACCAATAAGAACTTTAGTGATACCAATAAGAACGTTAGTGATACCAATAAGAACGTTAGTGATACCAATAAGAACTTTAGTGATACCAATAAGAACGTTAGTGATACCAATAAGAACTTTAGTGATACCAATAAGAACGTTAGTGATACCAATAAGAACGTTAGTGATACCAAGACAAATATGCTTATAAATAAATCACTGGGCTAAATTTGTCAAAACGCATTATTAAAATGGGTTGTCCTTTCTTCAGGCCTAACTAGCTATTAGCATATTAACTCGATTGCTCAGTCATGTTTGTGTGTGTTTGTGTGTGTGCATGTGTGTGTGTGTGTGTGTGTGTGTGTGTGTATGTGTGTAATATTAGACAATACTAGAGAATTCACAAAAGTACTATGTGTATACTTGATAACTGGGGGAAGAGACTGGCAAATTAATATGCTGGTTACTTAAATGTTTAAAGCATTGCAACTTGAACCGCCACATTAAAGAACAGAAAGTCAACGAGGTATGAAAAGTCACTAAATACATTTCATTTCATTTAAATAGTTATAACGTTTTTATCCCTGACATTTAAACAGAAAAGAAAATTTAGCTAAATATGGAAAATTCCATTACAACTTCTTTATTATTATACTGTGTCTATATCATTTACTTGATTTTTTATTTAATCAAATCTGACAAGTTATTAAAGTATTATAAACTGTTTTTTAAAACGCCACACTAACCTAAATGTATTTGTCTGGCAGTTAAAAGACTGATAATTAAATTGAGCAAATAAAAAAAAAATATATATATAAAATACATTTTTATTCTTCTGCCTAGGGAGTCCGTGAGAGTCAATGTTACAGACACCAGCCATCTCTGTTCATCTTTGTGACTTTCTTTGTTTTCCCCACTTGTTGTCTCTAAGTGTTGTCGGTGTTTCTGTATATTATCTCTCTGCAGTAATCTTGGTCTACCATGTGTTCTACTCCCTGGTAGCTTTTTGTCTGCATGAAGGCTTCATTTCTGTTTTTTGCAATTCTCTATATATACCCCAACGATTGCAGACTAACATGTCTGAATAGTTATAACATGTCAATGCTATCCAAGTGGAACAATAAATAGTTCAACAAATATGAGAAATCACTTATATATTAAAAAATGTTACAATGTGTTAATACGACCAAATTGAAAGAATGTATATATATGTACACGACCAAATTGTAGAAGCCACTAATGTATTAACATTTGAAAAGTTATAAGGCGTCAAACCAGAAACAAGTTATATCTTCTCGTCTAGACGACCATTTACAAGTAAACACAAAATAATTCAACGCATTTACATTTCCCCTCAGTCTGACCAGAACGTTGTGGTGCTAATATATTGAAACATTCAGAAAGCACGTACCTTCTGAAACATTTGGTTGGGTATCTAGGGAAGACAAGAGTACTCAGCACTGTGTTTTCAATTTCCAAGGAATCTCTACTAACCACGCAGAGGACTGTTTCTAGAGAACATATTGATTGTTTTCTTTCATGTGTTATCGAATTTGAATGCACCTCATTTATAGTGTATATCGAGAGTAACAACACCCATCAGGATTCTTACGGTGAGCTGCAATGAGAAGTGCACACTGTTTGATTGTGAGACTGATGCCCTCATTTTCATTGGGAAGAAGAAAAAATCTGCAGACTCCTAAAAGCATGTCTCAAAGGCGTCTAATTAGGGTCTGCAGGAATCAAATGTGTTCTGCTGAAATGCACAGATATCGCTGCTATGCTGTAGACCATACCACAATAAAGCAACCGCTCCTTTAAGAAAAAGGATTTAAAAAAAAAAAAGAATTAAAAGAGAGCTATGGAAATTCCCGATGTAGTGGATTTATTTGTTATTTGTGATAATATAAAGTAACATAACAAGTAGAGGGTGAATGCATTAAGCTTCATGAATTATCCTTTGAGTTTTGAGTTAAGTGAGTTGCCATCACAAAAGTCAGAACATTCCCACTAGCGTCTACCCCCCCCCCCCCCCCCACCGCCCCCCAATCTTCAGCAGTTCACGGAATGTTCTAAACGGATGATACCAGTAGTAAAAAAAAAAAAAAAAAAAAAGATCCCTTTCCACGCCTTTAGGCTATGTAGTATTCGGACAAAGAACGTTGGAATTAGAGCTGCCGAAACCTATGGCATTAAATAACTCTTTCTAATAAAACAAATATAGGGAGGGTAAACTATTATCTGTAAGCATCTATAGTTTACTATTAACAGTTTCTCTTTGCAATGTCATATTGTTTTGAAATATGTTATAACATAATTTTTTTTTCATTTAGCACAAAATTGTATTATTAATAATATTATGTACCTAAGCATGACTTAAATTCTACTAGGCCCTAACCTGTCAAAGATATGTAAGGAGACTTACCCTTCTCCCCCCCCCCCCC